ACACACACACACACACACACACACACACAAAAGCGGGTACTTATAAAATAGGGCTTTATTGCTTTCTCCTTCCTAATGTTGTGCAGAAACAGGATTAGACGAAGCAGTGATCATCTGCTAGGCTGGCCCAACACGCTGAATAAATAGAAACAAAGCATAAATGTGCAGCTAGGAAAGGCAGCTTGTGCAGTGCTTGTATTTGCATGCGAGAGGTGTCCTCGGTTGTGGGAATGCGTGCATATAATTCCGCTGGCAAGATTTTTGCAGAATTAAGGCCAGCAACATCCATGGACTACTTGTCCACCTCCAACAGGGCACATCCCCTTCAAAATCATGCCATGGAGACATGAAAGGTGTCTTCCTTGTTTGCAGGTCTGCTCTTGTGTAGATGGCGTGTTCTTGTGGGTGGGCACCCTCTGTGTCGCATCATCCTTTTTTTCTGTAGCCCGCACAACCGTGGATGCGGTGTTTGTGTGGATGGACGCCCTGTGTTTCAACCAGCACTTGTTTTCTTTGCGGCGCCGCACAAATGGTTTGGGATGTCCATGTGGATGGGTGACCCTCAAGTCAGCCAGCGCCCTTTTTCCACTTTTCATGCAGCTCCGCACGAACGTGGATGATGTGTTTGTGTGGATGGACGCCCTGTGTGTCAACCAACACCTGGATCGCAGCCCAGCGGATTTGCCATTAATCAAGGAAATTTTGCAGGTAGGCTCTCCCTGCCTGCAAGTGTGTATGATGCCCATTGCTTACATCAAGACACCTTTGCAATATTGACACTCTTCAACAGGGCATGGCTTCTTCTGCTTTGCTTGGCAGCTGTTTGGAAGCTCCAAGATTGTACTGTGTCAGCATGCTTAAAATCGCACTCGTTTGGGTGGATTGAATTCGTTTGGTGTGTACATTGATGTGTTCGAAAAATTATACATACATCCACCAATCCTTCACACACCCACACAACCAGATGTATGTATGTAATTCAGTGTAAGCCCGGCCCAGCAGTCATGCGTTTTGTAATGCATCCTTCTTTCCTGTAAACTTGTGAACATGTAATTCAATGTAATTAGAGGTTTTCTTAGGACGGCCAGACAATGAGCACCCGTGCAAGTGCTGTTTAAAGGAGATGACATGGTGAAGCAGCCTGGACTTGCTGCTGCTGTGCTAGATTGATTGCTGCAGAACTGCTGCTGTGCTGATTGTATCCAGGAGGAATGCGTTATGACACATTCCACTTGTGAACATGTAATTCAATGTAATTAGAGGTTTTCTTTGGACGGCCAGACAATGAGCACATGTGCAAGTGCTGTTTAAAGGAGATGACATGGTGAAGCAGCCTGGACTTGCTGCTGCTGTGCTGGATTGATTGCTGCAGAACTGCTGCTGTGCTGATTGTATCCAAGAGGAATACATTCTGACACATTCCAGTTTGGTAGCAATAGGGCCCTGCAAAACGCGATGCACCTGCCTGGGTTCGAACCAGGGACCTTCTCGGTGTAAGCGAGAAATCATAACCACTAGACCACAGGTGCCTCATATGCGTTGTGTGCGAGATCTTAAGTACATTCTTAACAATTTGCTGCTGGTCCGGCGCAGCCGACTTAACTTCAGCTCCCCGCTGTCTCAACTCTGTGTGGGCCTCAACTCTGTGTGGGTCTATTCTGTCTTTGTTGTCCTCTCTTGCTTCCAGTGGCCTTGCCTTTTTTCTGGGCTTGTGTCCTTCTTGGTCTGAACAGTTTTTCTTCTGCCGCTTGCTTGGGTGGAGCTTGGGGTGTTGTTTCCTGCTTGAGCTTAGTTTCCTTCCTGTAACTGCTCTCCCGCGTGCCTTTGGCAGCTTGGCCTTGCCTTGTCCTTTTTCCATGGGTTCTCAGTAGGGCTGGTCCTTATCTTGAGTTGTGTTTCAGAAGCTCTTGTTCCCGCTCTTTCTTGCAGCTCTTCTTTTGCTGTCAGGTCCCTGCTGGGGGCCGCTCATGTAATAGCAAAAAAAAAGTGCCAGGACGCTGGCAATGCACACTCCTCATATCCCCCCTTCCACATTTCTTTGCTCACCACATTATCTTTCCAAAATATGGAACGAATGAATCCACCAGTGTACATTTACAAGCATGAATGAATGCATGTATGTACATGTGTGTGTGTGTGTGTGTGTGTGTGTGTGTGTGTGTGTGTGTGTGTGTGTGTGTGTGTGTGTGTGTGTGTGTGTGTGTGTGTGTGTGTGTGTG